TCGGAGTTTGCATCATAGTTCAAGGAATCTTTTCAAATTCTTTCTCATCCAAAGTGTTTCTCTTCTTCTGCATCACGAACCTCAGGTACGTTCCCACATGGGTATGGAAGCTTACTGCTTGGGTGTTAAAATAAAAACATCTGAGCAAATTAAAAACAACTAAATTCCACTACAGTTGCATGGGTGGGGCAGGGCCATAAAGGCAGAAGACAAGAATGAATAGAAATTGACTCAATTTCTTCTTTATTGGCTGATCCACCAGAAAGAGAATAAAAGCTAAGAGAAGCTAAAAAGAAGAAAGGTAGTAGTGAAGGAAAGAAAAAAAAGAAAGAAGGAAGATTATAGGTGCTAAAAATACTGTGAGGAAAGTTTGGCTAAACATCAAAGAAGGACAGATGTGTTTCCAAATAGAAGTGGTGGTTTAGATATGTCAGGAAGCACAGCTCCAAATGATGGGTGGAAAATAAAGGTTAGTGAGACTGAGTTCAGCAGAATAAAAAAGCTTCATGGGAGAATCAAGCTAAGGAACAGGTCTTTCAGCAACATGGAAGCCCCACTGCTTCAATGCCGAGTGCCTGGATCAAGTGCAGGTGCCTGTGATGGAAACTCTTGCCAGGGTTTTAGTGCCCTGGACCAAATATCATTCTATCCTGACTTTATCATTCTAAACAACCTTCGATGGGACAATCTCTGCTAAAGACTAATCACTTCCTTATCTTATCCTCAGCTACCTTCTTCCCTTTCCCTTTAACAAAGCATAGAGGCTGGGCACGGTGGCTCATGCCTGCATTCCCAGCACTTTGGGAGGCCAAGGCGGGCAGATCACGAGGTCAGGAGTTCAAGACCAACCTAACCAACATGGTGAAATCCCATCTCTACTAAAAATACGAAAATTAGCCAGGTGTGGTGGCACATGCCTGTAATCTCAGCTACTCGAGAGGCTGAGGCAGGACAATCGCTTGAACCTGGAAGGTGGAAATTGCAGCGAGCCGAGACTGCACCACTGTGCTCCAACCTGAGCAGAGCGACAAAGCAAGATTTCATCTCAAAAAACAACAACAAAAAAAACATGGAATATTCTGAACAACTCCCATATCCAAGGGTGAGCTGTAGCTCCTGTACGTGCAATACTTCTGTGAGGTCAATCAATCTGACAAATATTTAATGAACATGGATTTTTTTTTTTTTTTTTTTTTGAGACGGAGTTTCGCTCTTGTTACCCAGGCTGGAGTGCAATGGTGCGATCTCGGCTCACCGCAACCTCCGCCTCCTGGGCTCAGGCAATTCTCCTGCCTCAGCCTCCTGAGTAGCTGGGATTACAGGCACGCACCACCGTGCCCAGCTAATTTTTTGTATTTTTAGTAGAGACGGGGTTTCACCATGTTGACCAGGATGGTCTCGATCTCTCGACCTTGTGATCCACCCGCCTCGGCCTCCCAAAGTGCTGGGATTACAGGCTTGAGCCACCGCGCCCGGCCCGAACATGGATCTTGAAAGTCTGAAACCCAAGTCAATTAAGAAACGTTCCCCACTTCCAAGAGGCTTATTGCTTGGCCTTATACTCTAGATTTTTTTCTTTGTTCTTTTTTTTTTTTTTAAGAGATGGGGTCTTGCTTTGTTTCCCAAGCTCATCTTGAACTCCTGGATTCAAGTGATCCTTCCACCTCAGTCTCCCAAAATGCTGGGATTATAGGTGTGAGCCACCACACCAGCCATAAACCAAACTGATGCACATGAATGACTTGAGACAAAGATAATATCAAATGTTGGGTTATATCACTTAGACCATGGGCAACAGGCTCAAGAAAGGGTCAGATGAGTGAATGAACCATAATATTAATAATGTTCACATGGCCGGACGTGGTGTCTCATGCCTGCAATCCCAGCACTTTGGGAGGTGAAGGTGGGCAGATCATGAGGTCAGGAGTTCAAGACCAGCCTGGCCAACATGGTGAAACCCCATCTCTGCTAAAAATACAAAAATTAACCAGGCCTGGTGGTGGGCACCTATAGTCCCAGCTACTCAGGAGACTGAGGCAGAATTGCTTGAACCTGGGACTCGGAGGTGGCTGAGATAATGCCATTGCACTCAAGCCTGGGTGAAAGAGTGAGACTCCACCTCAAAAATAAATAAATAAATAAATAACGTTCATATGGGATGGGTATGTGGGCTCACAGCTGTAGTCCCAGCACTTTGAGAGGCCAAGGAGAATCACTTGAGCCCAGGAGTTCCAGACCAGGCTGAGCAACACAGGGAGACCTCATTTCTAACCTCTCCCCAAAATATATATATATATTAGCTAGGCGTGGTGGCACATGCCTGTGATTCCAGCTACTTGGGAAGCCGAGGTGGGAGGTTTGCTCGAGCCCAGGAGGTCTAGGCTACCATAAGCCATGATCACACCACTGCACTCCAGCCTGGGTGACAGAGTGAGACCCTGTCTCAAAACAAAAACAAAAACACAAAAAAGCAAATATTTATTAAGTGCTTACTGCATACCAGGAGCCATGCCAAGTCCTTCAGATGCATTGTACCACTTCACCCTCACAATAATCCTTAGGTAGAGACTATGATTAGGCCTATTTCACAGTGGGGGAAATCAAGGTTCAGGAGTACGAATTCCCTTGCCTATTGAAAGATGGATCTGGGATGCCAACATAGGCAGACTCTCTCCTGAGCCTAGATAAATGCTCATGACAGGACTAGAACTGGGCCTGGGTATGGTAGGTGGATGGGCAGAGGCCAAACATCCCGGTGATAACTGTGAGTGCTTAAGAACAAGGGCAGTAGGGCCGGGCGTGGTGACTCACACCTGTCATCCCAGCACTTTGGGAGGCTGAGGTGGGTGGATCACCTGAGGTCAGGAGTTCAAGACCAGCCTGGCCAACGTGGTGAAACCCCATCTCTACTAAAAACACAAAAATTAGCCGGGTGTGGTAGTGTATGCCTGTAATCCCAGCTACTCAGGAGGCTGAGGCAGGAGAACTGTTTGAATCTGGGAGGTGAAGGTTGCAGTGAGATGAGATTGTGCCATTGCAGTCTGGCCTGGGTGACAAGCATGAAACTCCATCTCAGACCAAAAAAAAAAAAAAGGGCAGTATAAACTTTGGTTGAGTTCAGCCTTTGTTGGTTACTTGGGGCATAATACTTGAGGAACTTGTGCCTCAGTTTCTTTATCTGTAAAACAGGGAACAGTACCCAAACTCATAGGACTCTTGGTAGCATTTCATGACATGATGCTAGTAAAGTGGCTAGAATTGCGCCTGGCTTTCAGGAAGCATTCAATAAATATTAGTTTTATTGACATAGGAGAAATAGCTTAGACCAAGGTACCCTGGGTTAGTTCTAAGGAAGGTTGAGGGTTACCTGTTGTGGCATAGTCAATTGAAGTGAGTAACATTGAAGGGAGAGGCCAAATTTGGTAGAACTTGAGGAGTATGTATCAAGTGCTGCCCCTGTGAACAGCTCTGTGATGGAAGAAGGAGACTGAGGCCGGGCACAGGCTCATGCCTGTAATCTCAGCACTTTGGGAGGCCAAGGCAGATGGATCACTTGAGGCCAGGAGTTTGAGACCAGCCTGGCCAACATGGTGAAACCCTGTCTTTACTAAAAATACAAAAATTAGCTGAGCTTGGTGGTGCGCATCTGTAATCCCAGCTTCTCGGGTGGCTGACGCACGAGACTTGCCTGAACCCAGGAGGTAGAGGTTTCAGTGAGCCAAGATGTCGCCACTGCACTCCAGCCTGGGCAACAGAGTGAGTAAAAGACCTAGCAAAGTAAATCTAACAGATGAGTGTCTGGAAAGAGGAGGTGCAGAAAAGCCAAACTCAAGATGCAGAAGGAGAAAAGAGAAACAGATGAGCTATTCCTATTATGCCTTTTTTGCTTGACATTTTCCCCCGTCCCTGCTTTGCAGAGTAAAGACAGGTGGTAATTTCCAGGTAGACCAGGAGCCTGGTGCCATTTTTCCAAGATTGACCAGCTTCAAAAAGATACTTGCCTGCCCAGTCTCCAGACATTCGCAAACTCTTCCCTAAGACAAACCCTTTCCAAAGCTCTGCTCTAAAACTGACCTAGCTCTTAGGAGGTGAGGCCAGGGCTCACCACTGAAAGGGCGCCATTGTCCTCCCAAGTGTCTGTGGGTCCAGCTGCCATAGGCCTGGAGGTGGTTCACAGCCTGTGGTGCGGTCTGCCTGCAGGCTTTGATTCACCCCAGGGACAACACTTAAAAACTCAAGCAGGCAACACATGCGATTCCAGGAGCCCCTGCCAGATTCATACTCGGTTTTTCCATCATTTCACTCTCCTCCCCCTCAGGAGGGAGCCTCCCAAGGCATTTTGCAAATAAAAAAAATCAAACCCACCAACAGGATGAGCACCTGATAAGGAGTGAGGTATTGCCCAAGAGTTCCCAGGAAGAGGCGGCTTTGTTCTCGTTTCAAGCCCTTGACACTGCTAACAGCTCTAATTACTGCATTTGCCATGGGATGTCAAATAAAACCACATTCCAGAAACCATGTAGTCTTCCCGGGAGAGACACGCAGGGAAAGATGCCCAGGGCTGCAGGAACGTGTTCTTTCATTTCTGGTCCCTAACCTTGGCAGCTATTCTGAGAATTCAACAGTGCTTTCTTTATGTGCATGAAGGAGGGTACTTTTGCACATGTAGGGATGCATCTCACTACCTGTATCCCCAAATCTGATCTGCACATTTGGCTACATTTCCTGCAAAATATGCTTCTTAAGAACGTGAAGATCAAAATTCACCCAAGCCATTTGGGGAAAATGAGGACTTCAGAAATTTCTGAGACCAGAAGGGAAACCATATAGAACGTCTTTCCACATAATTTAACTATAAAATCTGATGATGTAACACCCACCCACACCCACATCACAAACCAAAGTGACATCACAAATACTAGGGATAATGGCTCAAAGCTGCCTGCATTGAGCCCAAATCTAAACAAACAGCAATTTGCCCATATGTGACTGAGGCAGAGAAAGAGAGGTGATTAGAAGTATTAAAATAAAACAAAACAAACCAAAAAAAGAGAGAGAGAAAAAGGAAAGAGAAAATACATATATCTTCCCCCTACTAAGCTAGCGAAAATAAAATTTAAGGCAACTGAAATATGGTAAGGTGATTTTACTTTTTATAGATGACATTTCTCAGAAAGCCAGGTCTCTCTGAATATGTGATTCTAATCTATCCAAATTGTTCTATTGTTCTTAGCTGGTCCCAGGAAATGGAGGCCAGCATCATTTACCTTTTGATTTCCCCGTGAATGGGCTCTTCTTGGCGCACAGCCGTTGGTTAGAAAGCGTATTCAGGGTTTGGCAGAACTTACCTGCTGTCATGTCTGTGTTGCAGCATGGTGGAGCGTCTAGAGCTCATATGGAAGTCGTGAGTGACTCTGTCTTCATTATCTTTCCAGCAGGCAGGAATTGTCTTCGATTCCTTGCCAACCCTCCCTGACCCCCGGCTTCCTGCCCCAGCATGTTATGTTCTTTGAGAGCCTGAATATTACTGTAACCTTGTAGAGTTACTATTTCCTCCCTACTTGGTATAAAAGGCTTTGGTGAGAAGGAGAGGACATATAATAAGATTTCTAAGAACTGGGTGGAAGGAATGGCCTATAAAAGATGTTAATATTTTGCCTTCAAAATAGACCTTTTATTCTCTGCTGGAGAACAGTCTTTTAAAAATTCATTTCTCCCTCTTATAACTCTAGCACCCAATCCATGTGAGACGAGACCCCAGCATCCCCATCTATGGACTCCGGCAGTCCATCTTATTAAACACCAGGCTTCAGGACTGCTATGTGGACTCACCGGCTCTCATTAACATCTGGATGGCCAGAACGTGTGCAAAGCAGAATGCCCCAGCACCAGCTACCACTTCTTCTTGGGAAGTTGTAAGGAATCCATTAATTGCCAGTTCCTTCTCCTTGGTTAAGCTTGTACTCAGGCGGCAACTAAAGAATAAGTGCCGCCCAGCACCACGCAAATTTGGAGAAACAAAACTCTCAAAGAGATTAAAACACAAGGACGATTCAGTGATGAAAGCCACCCAGCAGGCCAGGAAAAGAAACTCCATCAGTTCCAAGAGCAAGCGGCCAGCAGGGCATAGGATGCCTGCAGGAGGCATCAGAGAGGTAGATGATGGCCAGTGGTGGGGAAAATGTAACGGGTCGGGGGAGGGAAAAGGTAAAACCAGAGAACACTTAACACTTGACATATACATGGCGTGGGGCTACTGCCTGTAATCTCAGAACTTTGGGAGGCCAAGCAGGGAGGATCATTTAAACTCAGAGAGTTCAAGACCAGCCTAGGCAACACAGGGAGACTGCATCTCTACTAAAAAAAAAAAAAAAAAAATTAGCTGGGCATGATGGCACATGCCTATGATCCCAGCTGTGTGGGAGGCTAAGGAGGGAGGATTACTTGAGCCCAGGAGGTTGAGGCTGCAGTGAGCCATGATTGCACTACTGCCTTCCTGATTGGGCAACAGAGCAAGACCCTGTCTCAAAAAAACAAAACCAGGCAGGGTGTGGTGGCTCACACCTGTAATCTCAGCACTTTGAAAGGCCGAGGCGGGCGGATCACCTGAGGTCAGGAGTTCAAGACCAGCCCAGCCATTATGGTGAAACCCTGCCTTTATTTTAAAAAATAAAAAATAAAATTAAAAAAAAAAAACCCACAAAACCAAACAAACAAAACAAAAAACTATACCAAGTGAAGGAAATCCTAAAGTTGAAGACAGAATGTGGGGCAGAGGTACAGGATGAAAGAGTGGAAGAATGCTTCGGATGTTGCAGTCACGCTATTATTTATACTATGCTTAGTTCTAGAGAAGGATGAGTTGGCTTTCATAAGCACAGACTTGACAGGAAGGGAAAAATAAGGGTGAGAAGGAAGGCTAGGACATGGGTAGTATGTGCTTGTGTGCGCACACACACACACTGGTGGTCAGCATGGAGAACTGGCCTCCGGAGGCCCGATCGGAGTCCAGGTCTGTTAGCCCATGGTGGCCAGTAGAGCTCAGTGTATCCTGGAGCTAGGCCATCGGTGTTCAAATCCCAACTCTGACTATAACTGAGGATGACCTCGGGCCTAATTTCTTTGTGCCTTGATGTTATCGTATTAAATGGGGGATAATGGCCCTTCCCTCATAGAGCTTTGTGAAGATTAAATAAGTTAATACATGTAAAAGGCTTTTGAACAGAGGCTGGCAGAGGGTAAATAATTAGGATCTTGCATAGCATTCAATAGATGACAGCTGTGGTTATTAACCTTCTAGCTGTGTGGCCTTGGGCAAACCAATTCCAATCTCTTTGCCTTTAAAGCTGCCTCCTGCTGACCTCACAGGGTTCTGGAGAACACACGCAGTGGTATGTACATAAAGGAATTCAGTAAACTAGAACATACTAGACAAATGTTGGTTGTTGCTGTAACCAAGACTCTGGGACACAAATCCCAGATAATAATTCTGAGCTCCCCTCTCAAGTTTTAGCTTTCACTTCTCTGCTTTCTTCCTGGCTAGAGTAAAGAAAGTTCAAAGGAGAAAAAACTAAGAGTCTGCCAAGATCTTGAGGACAGATATGCTGAACATGTGGCTGCCACCCAAGCGCTACCCCAGCACAGTGGGACAGCAGCCTGGAAGAGCCGAGTGTTGCTTCCGGAAACCCACAGGAGACACCAGCTGTCGGAGGACATGCTGACCATCCATGGTCTCCCCACAGAGGGTTACCAGGCTCTGTACCATGCTGTGGTAGAGCCAATGCTGTGGAATCCTTCAGGGACCCCCAAGAGGTACAGCCTGGAGCTGGGCAAGGCCATTAAACAAAAGCTCTGGGAGGCTCTGTGCAATCAGGGTGCCATCTCTGAAGGTGCTCAGAAGGACTGTTTCCCTGGCAGGAAGCGGCTGGCTGTCCACGAGGAGCCTGTACTCAAGAAATGGCCCAAATTAAAGAGCAAAAAATAGGAACAGAACTCATGGGATTAGGGTATTCTCTGCTAGAGATCTGAAAAATAAACACAACTTTGCACCTTCCGTGTCATCTCAGAGTGCTTTACAAATTAGCAACACCCTCTCAGGGAAACAAAGAGGTACCAGATTCGCTCAAGACCACAGGTGCCTCTCCACTCATGATTAGGTAATTTTTTTTTTTGAGACGGAGTTTCACTCTTGTTGCCCAGGCTGGAGTGCAATGACGTGATCTCTGCTCACTGCAGCCTGTGCCTCCTGCATTCAAGTGATTCTCCTGCCTCAGCCTCCTGTGTGGCTGGGATTACAGGCATGCACCACCATGCCCGGCTAATTTTGTATTTTTAGTAGAGACGGAGTTCCTTCATATTGGTCAGGCTGGTCTTGAACTCCCAACCTCAGGTGATCCACCTGCCTCGGCCTCCCAAAGTGCTGGGATTATAGGCGTGAGCCACCGTGCCCGGCCATGATTTGCTAATTTTGAGGGGTAGATGCTTGGAGTATTTTTCCTCCAAAGCCTTGAGGGTCTCTCAGTCTTCCAGGTAGGAAAAGGCCTGACAGAGAAAGCAGATGTTTTAAATTCAATGGGCAAGTTAAAGTTAAAAGTACTGCCCCATGCAAACCTCCCCTCGTTGAATCTGCAGACTTTTACCGAACAGAGCAATAACAAGATATAACACATACTTGATAAAATTGTATTTTTTTTTTACAGTCATTTGTACAATTTGTTACAAAACCATAGAAGACTAAAACTTGTTTTAAATCATTTTTGGTCTGCAAATGTGTAAAATCTGTGTGCAATTATCATGTATTTACAGGGTCTTGTGTTAGTCATTTTCAATGATTATTCCGACAATGTCACACTCTCAACATAAGACATGGCTTAAGATAAATATATTAGTAAATAAATATTCTGAGAACATATTTCCATAAATGAAATGTGCTGCTATATATATACAGAATATACATAAGTTGTTTTCTAGCTTTTAAAACTTTTTTTAAAAATGGTAATGTTGAAAAAAAGAGCCCTTAGACCATTTTATTACAAAATCTTTACAGCAAAGTCTTTACAAAATCTCTTTTAAGTGCTATGGGAGAAATTAAAAAAATTAAAAATAGTGCCTCGTTAGACCAACACCATAGAAAGTTTACATAGAGTAGAAAAAGGCAGTTCTGTTTAAAGAACGATATTCTAGATTAATTATTTAGACCTCATTTTAAAAGCATTAGTCCTGCATGAACTTTGAGTAGAAACTAGCAGCACAGAAGGATGTGAGCAGTGGGACAGATGGGGCTTTATTTTACAAAAGGGCTTGGGTTACGAGGAGGGGGAAGGGGCTGAGAGTTAAAGTCAGCTTACTGGGGCTGTGTCCATAAAGAGGTACCTTGTTGGTAAACACCCAACACTTCCATTCTTAGCTGGTTCTAGAACTCTACATTGAACGTGGCTGTCCTACACTCAGGGATGGGTCACTTGACCATGCCCACCGGTCACACCCCAACTTGGAGGGATTGGGGACAGGGGTTCTCAGTGGAAAATGGGATACTCTCAGTTTCCATGGCTATAAAAGCGCTACACACCACTCAGAGTCCACCAAAAAGGGTGTGTGTCATTGGTGGAGTCTTACAACTTCAAAGAGGACATTTCTTTTGATTTATGTGTGACAAAATAAGATCATTGGTTACTTTTTTCTGGTGATCCCCCTGACTGATAAGCCAACACAAATTTAAAAGACAGTGGTTGGTATTTAAGGTTTTGAAATTGCATTTTTGTTTCTACCACCTGTAAGCTACAAAAATTAAATGGGTTTCTTTTGCCATCTGCAGCTATCACTTGTTCAAGTGAAAACTAGAGGCTGGGTGTCGTGGCTCACGCCTGTAATCCCAGCATTTTGGGAAGCCGAGGTGCGTGGATCACGAGGTTAAGAGATTGAGGCCATCCTGGCCAACATGGTGAAACCCCGTCTCTACTAAAAATACAAAAAAAAAAAAAAAAAAAAAAAAAAAATTAGCTGGGTGTGGTGGCGTTTGCCTATAGTCCCAGCTACTTGAGAGGCTGAGGCAGGGGAATTGCTTGAACCTGGGAGGTGGAGGTTGCAGTGAGCCGAGATCAAGCCAACTGCACTCCAGCCTGGCGCCTGGTGACAGAGTGAAACTCTGTCTCAAAAAAAAAAAAAAAAAAAAGGAAGAAAGAAAGAAAGAAAACTAGACACACTTATTTTAATAAGCCCAGTGGAAGCCACATTCTCTACTCATCTATTTATTGCTTAAGGCTATTGAGGAGTGGTTTTCCAGCCAGGGCTAAAGCAAGCCACTTTGGGAGTTCGGTTTCAGATGAGGAAGATAATATGCACTCAAAGGCATTAAAAACAAAACAAACAAAACAAAACACAAAACCCCACAAACAACAACAACAAAAATCTCAATGAGAAGCTGCTTTTTGCAGTTCATATTAAAACCCAGACCCGGCTTCCCTAAAACCATGTAATGCAAGCTGTTGTCCTTAGCAGCTGCTACTCCTGGCCCAAGAAATAAAGGCATCCCAGATCACATGTCACCAGCTTAGGCGCTTCTCACACCCTCGGCAACAGGTGTGTGGGCCGCAGTCTGAGAAGCAGCCCCCCAAGGGACTGTACCCCAGAGGCCAAAGGACAGATCTCACCCGTGAGTCCCTCAATGGCAAATGGTTTGATCATTTTATATTGGAATTTCTGTCAAATCCTAACTAAAGTAAATTTCCTCATCATACGCTGAGGTTTTTAAGAAAAATATATTCTGATAGAGCGAGATTCTCGTTCAAAACATTCTGAGCTGACTTCCTGTGAAACTGACTGGAGAAGCACCAGTACCGTCACCTGACAAGCCAGGTGGTCCCTGTCCTACCCACAGGGGGCCAGGTCCCAAGTTTCCTATTCTGCAAGTGAGCTTGCAAACCCAATGAGCCAATTCTTTCAGATGGCAACACATCTGATGAATGAATGAACAAATACAAGTGACCAGAAGAGTTAGTGAACACAAGGGCTAATATCATTAATTTCCTATAAAAAATTAGTTTTTAAAGAACAAGGAATACATTGGACAAAAAAGGATGACAATCCCTGATCTGAAATAGCTTTAAATAGATTCTCTCTCCCTTTTAACAATGAAACACCTTAAAACCGCAGCGGTTTGGGTTTTTAAACTCTCCCCTTCCCCTTAATAAAAAAGGCTGGAAAAATATACAAAAACCTACCCTTTGGATGTAAACTACCCGATAGTTTCTCTCTGTCTCATGGAGAATCAATATATAACAGTGCATTAGGTAGATAGGATAGTAGACATCTGCAGGCGAGATGAGCAATTTCAGCCATGAGGCAGAAGACTGAATAACCCTGAAGCAGTGCTTCCGTGGGGAAATGGGATAGGAAAGGTATCATTCAAATGGAGCTCAGTGCAGACCTCCTGGGTCTGGGCACGTGCCCCCAGAAAGGCAGCCCAGGGAAGCAGCAGCCGAGGGGTGTGGCTGCCCCACAGAGACCCATGCGCACTGCACTGCACATTGGTGTGCTGCTGGGTCAGTGGAGAGCACTCTCCCCCAGCCCCATCAGACACCAAGGCCACAAAAGTACATTCCTTCTGGGTGTCTGCCCCCACACACCCCATCAGGCCATTTCTGTAGCCAGTGGCAGGGAGCCCAAAATATTTTTGCAAAGGACTCCAAAGTCAGGACAACCAAGGGGGACAGCCTCCTCTTCCCTGCCCTGAGCGTCAGAGTTCAGATCGAGGGTCCCAAGAACATGCCCTTACTATGGGATGTGAACTCTGTTGTTTCACTTGGGACCATGACTCGAGATTGAGGACACTGGGCAGAATCCTCCCCATCACTTTCGTAGCAGCGGCTCAGCCAGGCTCTGCAGGGCTGCGGCTCTTGTACATCCTATTGCTAGCTGCTTCCATCACCTACCTAAGGGCGTGGGCTGGAGAGGCATGGCGTCGGGGACCTAACATCGTGTACACTGGGATTGCCACGAGAAAGAGGCAGCTTTGCACTGCTCCTCAGAGCCTGTACCCATATCAACTAGCTTTACTTCAAGTTTCTGGTTCATTTTCTAAGGCAGGTGAAGCCCTGAGCTTTTCAAAGGCCTGAGCTCCCTCCAGGGAGACAACAGTATCTACACATGATGTGGTTCATTTAATGCAGCAGTGATTTTTTTTTCCTTTTTCAGCAAAAGTTGGCGGTTAGGGTTCTTTAAAATACATATTTAAATAACTTTTTACATTTACATACAATATCTTAAGAAACAAAAAACAAAAAACAAAACAAAACAAAAAACCAGAACTCAATCCCACACCTCGGAAACCCCAAGCACACACACTTTACAAAACAGAACATGTTATCAAAAGAGGCAAAGGACTCGGAGAATTTTGTCTGTTGATTTGTTAATGGGGTAGGGGGTGGTTTTGCCACAGGGGGCTCACATTTTGGGTTGAGAAGGAGGGCTCTCTTTATTACCACTTTCGTGTGTTTGTCAAAGCTAAAAAAATTTTTGTTTTTGTTTTTTGAAGGAAGTCAGTTTGGAGTCTCCATACAGTTCCCAATTTCCAGGTAAGAGTTCCTTCTGAACTCAGGCTCCTGTGCTGCTGCTGTCTGCTGAGCGAGATCTCGGTCCTGGGAAAGAGAGAGAACAATCATCAGGGGAGGGAGCTGGCACCACACATGGGACCAGACAAGGGACTCAGGTGGCCCTATCCGCAGTGTGTGGCAGGCCTGTGTATGCTCAAGGGCTGAAGCAGGCTCCTCTTCCCAGAGGGGCTCCGTCTGTGCTGAGCACAGGTGCCTTCTGGAGAGCCAGCCTCTCTCTTTTGGATGTAGAGCGCTTTCTAGAAGCCCTTAGGTTGCACGAAAATCCAATATATTAGTGATGTTAACTGGGTGCCCAGTATGTGTCAGGCCCTGGGAAAAGCAGGAGGATCCCCTCACAGAGCTTACAGACCTTGAGACAAAGTAATTTAGCAATAGGATGACAGGAAATGAACAGAGGGTATGCAGGTGATCTCAGAGGGAGCTGGAGTGTTGCTTAAGCTAAGATCTGGAGAAGAAAACTAGTGGAGAGGTCTGGGGGCTGGAATGAGCTTGGCACATGGGGAGAATGGGACAAAGGTCACAGAGGGTGAAAGCAGCAAGCAAGGAGAGTGAACCAGGAGCTCATCAGATGGGTTGGCAGGGGCTGGATCAAACAGAACTGGGTGAGATGCTAACATTTATTATTATTTATTTTTATTTTTATTTTTTTGAGACAGAGTGTCACTCTTGTTACCCAGGCTGGAGTGCAATGGTGCGATCTCGGCTCACCGCAACCTCCGCCTCCTGGGTTCAAGCAATATTCCTGCCTCAGCCTCCTGAGTAGCTGGGACTACAGGCACGCGCCACCATGCCCAGCTAATTTTTTGTATTTTTAGTAGAAATGGGGTTTCACCATGTTGACCAGGATGGTCTCAATCTCTTGACCTCGTGATCCACCCGCCTCGGCCTCCCAAAGTGCTGGGATTACAGGCTTGAGCCACCGCGCCCGGCCATTTATTATTATTTTTAAGACAGGGTCTTGCTGTGTTGCCTAGGTTGGAGTGCAGTGGTGAGATCATAACTACGGCCTCAATCTCTTGGACTCAGCCTCCTAAGTAGCTGGGACCAAAGGCACGTGTCACAATGCCTTTTTTTTTTGTTGTTGTTGTTTTTTGTTTGTTTGTTTGTTTAAGATAGGTTCGTTCTACATTCCCCAAGCTGGTCTCCAACTTCTGGCCTCAAGTGATCCTCCTGCCTTGGCCTTCCAAAGCACTAGGCCAGGAGTTAACATTTTCAAGATTTTAAAGGTAATGGCAAGTCACTGAAGGGTTTTCTAGCACAAGACATCAACTTATGTTTTACCAAAGGCCACTCTGGCTCCAAGTGGAATAGAAGGCAAGACCAGTGACGGCAGACCAGTCAGAGGCTACACTGCCTCTGTCCTGAAGAGAAGAAAATGGGGCTGGACTGAGGGGACAGCAATGGGGGTGCAGAGTTGATACATTTGGGATGTACTTTGCAGGCAGATCTTGTTGCAGTGCTACTCAGAGGTGCTAGACTACATAGTTTATTACTGAGGCAGCATGTTTCAAAATCTTGTAGCAATCTGATGTCTGCTGAATCTAACAATAAAAAATTTGGACTTGTATCTTGCATGTCTTTTGCGAAGTTTAATTTTCTGGGAATTCATTTTCATGGATTGAGGCAAAAACAAGCAACTGGGGTCCTTCCCAGACAGGTTGAGAAGCCCAGGAAGCTGGAGTGCAAGGGGCAGGATGGGCACAGAGACAGGGCCTAGTTTTTTTTTAAGATGGAGTCTCATTCTTTTGCCCAAGCTGGAGCGCAGTGGTGCAATCTCGGCTCACCGCAACCTCCACCTCCCAGGTTCAAGTGATTCTGCTGCCTCAGGTGATTTCACTGCCCAGGCTGGGACTACAGCCGCCTGCCGCATCTGGCTAATTTTTGTATTTTTTTGTAGAGAAGGAGTTTTGCCATGTTGGCCGGGCTGGTCTTCAACCCCTGGCCTCAAGTGGTCCACTGCCTCAGCCTCCCAAAATGTTAGGATTACAGGCGCAAGCCACTATGCCCGACTGGTGCTAGGTTTTTGGTGTGAGCATATGGGTGGGGAGCAGGGCAGAGGAAGGAATGAGAACACTGCTGTGGACGTGACCAGCTGGAAGCATCTTGGGGGAGACATCCCGAGATCATGCAAGCAGACGGCTCAATGGGTCTGAACTCCGAGGGAGGGCCAGGCTGAGAAGTAACCCTTGGAAGTCTTCAGCCTCAGATGGTGTTTAAAGCCAAAGGCACAAAGGAAGTCATTCAGAAAATGCCTAAGAGAGACGACCATGATGGAAACTCCTGCTCTGGCCTACTGCCATTTCCTGCTCTCTCACCTGCAGCCTCAGTAGCCGTGGTGCTGGGCTCCTGAGTGTCCTGGAGGGCACTGGGGAGGCTGGCCCTGGCAGCACCCGCCTCCTCTGGAGGGCAGCCAGGCCGCAGCAGGGCCCTAGCCTGGCAGCACAGAGCCCGCTCCTCTTCCCGAGTTGCTCCCAGGCCCCTATGGGGCCGTGGGGCGTCTGGGCCCCGTGTCCCACCCCAGGAGCCGAGGCTGTGGGTCCCTTGGCAGTCCGAGGGCAGGCCCAGGTCACAGTCCACATCCTCCGGAATGATGGGGATGCGCTGGCTCAGGTCCCGGGCCCCCGCGTGGCAGCCGGGTGGGGGCTCCTCGGTGAGCGTGTACTGCACACTCACCGAGTAGTCCTCAGTGTAGCAGCCGCTGCCCCCTCCGCCGCGACGGGCCACCTGCTTCTCTTCATAGAAGCAGCAGGGCAGGCCCTCATATTTCACCCCATCTGTCCTGGGCAAATGGTCGGGATGAAGGCCGTACAGGCCCTGGGAGCTTCCTGGCTGGGGCTCCCCACCCGTGGGGCCAGAGCCCTCTAAGAGGTGGGGCCCCAGGAACAAGGTGCTGCTGCCAGCTGCTCCGGCGTTAGGCCCGGGTGGGGAGGGCTGGGGTTCGCAGCAGCAGGCACACGATGGCCCCTCGTGGCCCCCCTTCCAGGTCCTCCTGATGTCCGGGGCGGCCCCAGGAGAAGCCTCGAGCCCCACTTCTGAGGTAGAGCTATTGGGCCCCCTGTGCTCCAGCGAGGAGTTGCTGCTGTAGTTCATCTCCAGGCTGCAGGTGGACACCTGATCCCCCGAGGGAGAGGCAGGGCCTGGCCAAGGCTCGCCCCGCCCAGCACCATGACTGTGCACTGTCGGGAGCTCCTCGGGTGGCAGGGAGCCCTCAAAGCACAGTGCAGGTCCCCGGCCTGAGCCCCCTGCCTCACTGGCGCGACAGGGGCTCCGGCTGCGGTAGATGAAGGGATCATAGTCGCTGCTGAGGGAGCTGCGGAAGGTGGAGCAGCTCCCGTACACGCCCTGGTTGCTGACCTCAGTGCAGTCTACCACAGAGTCACTGGAGGAACAGTGGCACTGACCGGAGCTGCTGCTGCTGCTGCTGTCGCTGCCCGGGCAGTCGGCCAGGTAGCCACTGCACACCGAGCGGTGGCCGTGATAGCAGCTGAAGCTGGACGTGCTACCGCTCTCCAGGTGGGAGGGCGGGGCCACGTGCACTACGGTCGGGAACAGCAGGCTGCCGCTGCCACTCGGAGGAAAGGCACGTGCCGGGCCCCGGGGTGCAAGGCTAGGCGGGGGCTGCCCCTCTTGCTCCGGGTAGCTGAGGCCCTGGAAGTAGTAGTGCTGGTACATGGTCTCGTACTGGGAGAAGCAAGCTGCCTTGGAGAAGCTGCGGCCGCTCAACTTAGGCCTGCGGAAGGGGTGGGCTGGGGAGTAGGCCCGGTGCTCCAGGCCGCAGCGGTGAGCGGCTAGGCTGTGGTCCAGGTGGAGGGGTGGGTAGCTGCGGACGTAGGCGGGGGTCTGCGGGGAAAAGAGGCTCTGCTCCCCGTGCCGGTCGACGGTCAGCAAGGTAACGGGGTTCCCGTGGGAGTCCATGCTTGTCCTCGTAGGGTAGGCTGGGATGGCGTTGGTCCTGTGCACGCGGCCGGGGTAATGCACCGGCAGGGTCACCCTCGGCTGCCGACCACGTGAGAGGTTGCTGGTCTCCACACACACCGCGCCTGGGTTTCCCTTTTGTTCTAGGGACAGGTGGAGGAAACAGAGTAGGCAGGGCTGAGCATACTGGTGTCAACGGCTAGAGGGATTCTGAAAATGGGCAAAGGTTGCAGCAGGGTTGGTCACCTGCCAAGGTGCCCATTCTCACAACCCTGCCCCCAAACTCAGCTGCAGCAGCCGGGGTTGACCTGCCTCTCTGTGTGAAATGGCCCATTTCCTGTAAGGGCCCGATTCTCACCTCCCCACTGCTCTGCCTGACAGGGCACCACAGGAGTCCGCAGAGAAGAATCGGATTCCAAGATGCCAGTGTTCCTCCATCCCCATTTAATGACACAGTGTAGCAGGAGCAACAGCACAAGCCGGCCACTGCACACTCATCGTCTCTGTGGTCCTAGGAACACCCTCGTGGTACGAGGCATGGGCAAACACCATTACTGTCATTGCCACTAAAGAGATTAGGGGCCTAAGGGAGAGGCCAGATGTCTTGCCCAAGGTCAGGAAGCTGCTTAACATGAAGCCCAAACTTGAACTCAGGGCAATTCTTAATGCCAGGGTCTCCTAAGGGTTGTGCAGCCAACCTCCAAAACTCAAGGCTGCGAGGCCTCCAAGTCCAGAGGGCAGAGCTGTGGTGGCTCTGCTCACTTCCAAGTCTGCAGTGGATGTCACACTCTAGCTAGGCACTTCGTAGGGACTGTGTCCTCTCACTTGACTCTTCAGCAGTGGCTGAGGCAGGTGACAGTTACCTATGATGTTGTGCCGACAGTGGGGGCAGGTGTGGTGCTGCAGCAGCCAGGGGTCCACGCACTTCCTATGAAACCGGTGAGTACAGGGGATAACCCGCAGCTCCTGGGCAGGAAGAGAGGAGACACAGGTCTGCCTTCAGCCTCACAGGTGTGTCCTCCTGCAGGGCTCTGCACACCATGCCAGTGCCCTTCCCAACTCTCCTCCCCACCTCCAGCTAGGGGTCAGCTCAATTCCCTAGAGGCAGGGCCCACCCATGTGTTCTAGGGAGAAGGAAACTGCCAGCAGCCAGCCCCAGCCACAGTCATCAGTGTTAAGAGTGGGAATATGCAGAGGCAGGCGTCTTCTCTGTAGTTGGAGGAGGGCATGCACACCCTCATGCCTCCACACAGGGAAGACCAAGGCCTTGTGCTAGTGAGGATGGGAGCCCTGGGGGTATGGAGAGAGGGCTGCGTATACCCCAAGATACGCTCCCTCTCTGAGGTGCTGGCTGACCCTGGGTACCCCAAATGGGCATGAGTAAAAAGGAAGATGCCTGGGACTCATGACTGCCAGATGGGACAGCAAAGGGACAAAGCTCTGCTGTCCCTTCCTTTACTGGACCCTGAACCTCGTCATGGCAGCACATGGTTTATAAGAAAAGCAGACTATCTAGAGATGGGGTTACTGGGACAGAACCACCTCCAGAGTTCCCTAAGCCTAAGCATCTTCCAAATTTGCTCGTGTTACTTTGTCTTTCCATTTTCTGACCCGTCCAACACAGTAATATTCCAGCTCACACCTAACACTGTGCCTGACAAAATGACAAAAGGTCTACCTGGATCTTCTCATAGAACCTTCATGATCACCTGGAATGCTGGTCAGTGTTGGGCCCATGTCACAAGAAAATGAAGTCACTTGCCCAGGATCACAAAGCTAGAATCCACCCAGACCAGGATAAGAACTCAGAGTCCATGCAAAAATTGATTATTCTATTCTGCAAAAACTCCATTTCCATCCAACAGTCTATGCAGCAATGGAACATTTTCAGCAAAGGGGCATCAAAGGTCTGAAATTCTCAAGTGGTCTGCTCCCTGACCCCCAAATATGTGTATGTATGCATCTGTCTAGGGAGAGGGAGAGGGAGCAAATGCAGCAAAATGTTAATCATGGGTGATTCTAGGCCGGTGACATGTATCATCTATGGTACTAGTCTTTTCTGAAGGTCTGAAATTTTCTTTGAGAGACAAGGTCTCACTCTGCTGTCCATGCCAGCACGCAGTGGCGTAATCACAGCTCACTGCAGCCTTGAATTCCTAGCCTCAAGTGATCCTTTCCCCTCAGCCTCCCAAGTAGCTAGGACTATAGGCACAGTACTAGACCTAAAATTCTCAAAAAGCTACAAGAAAAAAAAGCGAGGGATATCAAATCCTTTGTCTCTTTGTAAGTAAAAACACCCAGTCAAGTATCAAGGCAAGTCTCAGAATTTTCTGAAGAGTGACTCTAAAAGTTGATATGTATGACAGGACATGGGGCCCAGTCCTTTCTAGGGCTTGGGCACCTCTGCTGACCTGCCTAAGTTTTCCCCACCCAGGACAGGCCTGCCTCTACCATTACCTCTCCATCAATGTACTTCTCCAGGCAGATGGCACAGTCAGACGTGGAGCTGCTGCTGAGTGTGTCCAGGGCCCCACAGCTCCCCTCCCGGCGCCCCTTGCTCTTAGAGTTGAACTTTCTGGTTTCCATCTTCTCCAGAGCCTGCACGGCCAGCCTATTCATGGAATTCTGCACAGTAGAATGTGGTCTGTGTGAGGGTCCGGTATGTATGACAGTGGCACTCACCCCAGGGACGTGATACTCAATTCACTGGGTCAGGCAGACACTTCTCACTTCTCTATCATGCCAGAACAGACTTCTGAGAAGTCGCTCAAAGCTCAGGCTGCCACAGCACACATTCTCCAGACCTGTGGAGCCTCCACATCAACCTAGGCTTCTCCCAAGTGGCAAGACTAGCAGGAGTCTCTCTGATTTGAAGGCAAGGTTCTCCACCAATTACTTTTTATTTTATTTATTTATTTATTTTTGAGACAGAGTTTCGCTCTTGTTACCCAGGCTGGAGTGCAATGGCACGATCTCGGCTCACCGCAACCTCCGCCTCCTGGGTTCAGGCAATTCTCCTGCCTCAGCCTCCTGAGTAGCTGGGATTACAGGCACACACCACCATGCCCAGCTAATTTTTTGTATTTTTAGTAGAGATGAGGTTTCACCATGTTGACCAGGATGGTCTTGATCTCCTGACCTCGTGATCCATCCGCCTTGGCCTCCCAAAGTGCTGGGATTACAGGCATGAGCCATTGTGCCTGGCTCCACCAACCTGCTGCCTCCTAACTCTGCCAGACCCTGATTTATCAACCTGTTCTACACCAAGGGTTCCTACTCTTTCTGATGAAGGAAGTGGTGACAGTAAATAGACAATGTATAAGTGCTTAGCACCTGGCAAACAGGCTGTGCTAACAAGCCATCATCATGTTGGGAGTGGTCGCTCAACACTCATGAGAACTTTGGTGATTCTCCTCTCTACAGATGGCCTGCTAGGATCCACCATCTCTCCCCTGAGACATGACTCTGCCATACATTTGGGAGTCCAGATCTCTGCTTATCCTCTCACCACCCTCCACCCCCGAGTCTCTCCGTCCTACAGGCACAAAGTGATGTGGTGGCCGCAGTGCTATAGCAGCTATTGTTTATCAAGCATCACCTGGAAAGCCTGGTACACTGGGTGGGTCTGGGACAGGGCCTGAGACTGTGCATTTCTATCAGGCTTCCAGGTGCTGCTGTTGCTGCTGGACCACAGATGCTATCTGAGGGCCAAGGCTCTAGGGCGCCAACTGATGCACTGGGATAGGCAAACATGCCTCTATTGTGCCAGAATAGACTTCTGAGAAAGCACTCAGACTGCCACAATACATATTTTCTAGACCTGTGGAGTGTATATAACACGTATTAACATTGATTTAAACATTTCCTTTGGGCTCAGCATGATGGCTCACACCTGTAATCCCAGTTGGGAGGCCAAGGCAGACGGATCACCTGAAGTCAGGAGTTCAAGACCAGCCAGGCCAACATGGTGAAACCCTGTCTCTACTAAAAATACAAAAATTAGCAGCGTGCCTGTAATCCCAGCTACTCAGGAGGCTCAGACACAAGACTCACTTGAACCTGGGACGTGGAGGTTGCAGTAAGTCGAGATTACGCCATTGCACTCCAGCCTGGGTAAAAGAGTGAGATCCTGTCTCAAAAAATAAAAAAAATAAAAGAAACACTTCCTTCAAAACACTGGCTGGAGACATTCCCAATGCTCAGCCTTTGTAGGACTAGCCCTTTTAGAACAGAGAAGGCACTGGGCTATACGTTTTTCTTTTTTATTTTTTTATTTTTGAGACAGTGTCTCATTCTGTCACCCAGGCTGGAGTGCAGTGGTGTGATCATAGCTCACTGCAACCTCTGCCCCCCAGGCTTAAGTGATCCTCCCACCTCAGCCTCCCAAGTAGCTGGGACTATAGGTGCAAGCCACCATGCCCAGCTAATTTTTGTAGAGATGGGATTTTGCCATGTTGACCAGGCTGGCATTAAATTCCTGAGATCAAGTGATCTGCTTGCCTTGGCCTCCCAAAGTTCTGGGATTACAGGCATGAGCCATGGTGCATGGCCTAGTTTGCTCTTATTTTTTTTCCATCTTTGGTGTTTGTAGGCCACTGGGAACAGGCTATGGAGCTCAGAGTCCACAGCTGTGAGGCTCCATGTTGCACCATCAAAAAGTAAGGTGAGGAGAGTCCTGGTTTTCCCCAGCGTTGGGGCAACAGTGGTTATTGCTCACAGGCTACACACAGAGGCACTACCTGACTGCGTCGCTGCTTTAGCTTGATTTTGACAAGGAGGATGAGGCAGACCAAGGAGACCACGACGAAGAAAGCCAGGAAAATCCCCATGTCAAAGTATTCAGTGGGTTGCTGGAATGGAACACAGACACAGTGAGTCACAGCCTCTCTCCAGCCTGGTAATCGGCACATGGGCTATCTTGGCTTGGTCAGGATCAAGATGGGGTGACGAGGGTAAGGTTCCCCTCAGTTTGCAGGAAACTCCTGAGGTTCTGCTCACACGTACATGCTGTGCTCCCTAGGCTCGAGTACTGCCTTCAGTGTGGCCGGGGGAGGCCTGCGGCGATCTCAGCCAGGCCCCCCAAGAGCCAAGGGAACTCTGTTGGTAAAGCCTGGCTCCCTGTGGAATATGACAAAGTTGGCTGTAACTGGTAAGAAAGGCCCTTCCAAATAAACACAAATAATCACATTTATAGGACAAAAGAGTGAGTGTCATGTTTTGAGGGAACAGTGATTACTAACCATATAATTAATGGTTTACAACAACTCAGAAAATTGTATGCTACTTCCACAAATATCAGCTTCCACTACAATGAGTCATATTTACCAAAGCGCTCTTTTTTTTATTTTCCTTTAAAATGAAGCCAGCAAGTCAGTTCTGCAAACTCCCTCTAGTTTTAGTTCTTACCTTTTTCCTTATAGCACACTACCTCCCAAAACCTCAAAGCCACCTTATCTGGGATATAAATTTGGCCAATGGGAATAGAGCTTTCCAAAATCGATGCTGCATGTATCTGGGTATGTCGTGCATGGGACAGAATCATCCTACATGGGAATGTCCCAGTATTGGTGAGGAGGAAATAATACCAATACAGGGCACTAGCCCAAGGTTCCTGGAATTCTTCAGCTTGAGGTTTGAGCAGAAGAGGCCAGTTAAGAGTTAGTGGCCAGTAGTGTCTCCTCCACATACTGAAGAGATGCAGATGCTATTTGTTAGCCGTCAAACTCAATCCCAGTTGAAAGCTAACTTTTCCACACTCTAATTAACTTGGGTAGTTTCAATCAGGTAAACTATTCTACAGGAAGAAGGAAGTCCTTCATTTTCGAGTGTCTAGGTCAGATGGAAGTAAAAAGACACAGAAGGCCAAGTGCTGGGTGCCCCGTCCCTTCAGTCCTCTTCAGTTTGCCTCGCAGAAGAAGACGGGATGGAAAAGAAAAGATGAGAGGTCGCCAAGAGGGAAGAGGCTAGAGACATCTTAGTACAAAAACATCTATTTCTGGTAGGATTTTTCAAATTTGCTCTAAAGGACCATGAGTAAAATTTCTCCCTGGCCTTGAGTCCAATAGCTGATATAAACCTCCAGGAAACTGGGGGTATGCAGCATTTTAGACAGAGAAAGGAATGAAAGTCCAGAGCCCAAGGGAAATAAAGGGACAGTAAGTAGCAGAGAAGGCCCCAAGCGTGGGTCAAACAGCAGGGAGGCTCACTCGAGGAGGGCGGTGCTGGATCCTTGCTCGAGCTACTTTCTGCTTGTTGACGATGTTCATCAGCTTAATGGCATCTGCACCCTTCACATACACCACCGGCCTCTTGAGTGGGTCTTCCGAGCCCTGGTTCAGCTAAGGAAGAAGAGAGGGCCCTGGTTAAAAGGTGTGCTTACTTTGAAAGCAGTAGAGAGAAGGAAAGGCTACAGGGAGGGAACACTGAATACCTGTCTGGAATCCTCCAACTCTTTGAACATTACAGCCTTGGAGCTCCCAGAGGAGCAAGGCTGAGAATGACGCTTGTTTTGGGATGAACTGGGCAAGCAAAAGGCCCAGAAAGGTCTTAGAAAATGCCCTCTGTGCCCCAATCCCTGGCTCTTAACCTCTCCCAGTACATCTCCCTTGGAGATTATGTCCAAATGTGGACATCTAACTTCAGAAGACAAGAGCAAATGCCCTGAGATGAGAGTGACATGACCGGGACAAGCCAAGCTCACTAAAGGAAGTGCTTTTCTCAGGGAAGCTGCAGCATTGGCATGGCCTGAGGAGTTTACCTGGTCAATAGCTTCTGGGTTTTCAGACACATCAAAGATGACTGCAGTGGCTCCCCGCTGTACTGCTCGCTTGGCCTGCCAGAGTAAAAAAGAGCAGGTTGGCCCTCTGGTCCTCTTACCTTTCCAAAGCTGGCCTTGGCTATCAGGCCTGTAATCAAATGCAGAATCTGACAGTTACCAACTTATGTGACTTCAGGCACATTACCTCACTTTCCTAACCCTCAATTTTCCCATCTATAAAGAAGGGGACTGATGACTAGAGTTAACAATAGTATATAGTTTCAAATAGCTAAAAGGAGGACATTTCCAACACAAAGAAATGATAAATGTTTGGGATAATGGATATGCTAATTCCCCTGATCTGATCACTACACCTTGTATTTATCAAAATATCACTATGTACCCCATGAATATGTAAAATTATTACGTCGATTTAAAAACTTTTTTTTTAAAGAAGACAATTTTTTTTTTTTTTTTTTTGAGACGGAGTTTCGCTCTTGTTACCCAGGCTGGAGTGCAATGGCGCGATCTCGGCTCACCGCAACCTCCGCATCCTGGATTCAAGCAATTCTCCTGCCTCAGCCTCCTGAGTTGCTGGGATTACAGGCATGCACCACCATGCCCAGCTAATTTTTTGTATTTTTAGTAGAGACGGGGTTCCACCATGTTGACCAGGATGGTCTCGATCTCTTGACCTCGTGATCCACCCACCTCGGCCTCCCAAAGTGCTGGGATTACAGGCTTGAGCCACCACGCCCGGCCTAAAGAAGACAATTTCACCTACCTTGTATGGTATTCGTGAGGTCAGATGACTTGGAATAGGGGAAAATATGGCTGGGTACAGTGGCTCACACCTGTAATCCCAGCACTTTGGGAGGCTGAGGCAGGCAGATCATGAGGTCAGGAGTTCAAGACCAGCCTGGCCAACATAGCGAAACCCTGTCTCTATTAAAAATATAAAAATTAGCAGGGTGTGGTGGTGCATGCCTGTAGTCCCAGCTACTTGGGAGGTTGCGGCAGGAGAATTGCTTGAACCCAGGAGGTGGAGGTTGCAATGAGCTGAGACGGTGCCATTGCACTCTAGCCTGGGTGACAGAGTAAGACTCCGTCTAAAAAAAAAAAAAAAAAAAAAAAAAAAAAAAAAAAAAAAAAAAAAAAAAAAAAAAAGGAGAAAATACATCATTGAAATTGATTACTTAACAAACTTTTGTATTCCTATCCAGCCCAAATAGTGAAAACAACCTACACACCGACAACCTGCCCAGTCAGTAGAGAGGTATTGGTTTAATATTTCCTGTTTCAGAGCCACTGACAACCAAAGCAAATGCCTATGGCCCATCTCATGTGCTTCCTTCTTCCTTCCCCTGTTACCCAGTTAGAAGAATATATTGAATATTTCTGAATGAGTCTCAAAATGGTTAATTTTAATAAGTGACACAAGCTGAAGACCTCTGGAGACACTGTCTCTGGTGGAAGCTGTGAAAAATAATTATAAATGGGGTTTTGAAGCAGTTGGCTGCCAGACCTGGATACACATCAAAAGCCACTTGGGAAGTTTGTAAAGCAGATTTCCTGGCTCAAACCACAGAGACTGATTGAGCAGGTCTGGAGTCAGGCCCAGGAAACTGAGTTCTGTATGCTTTCTGGGGGATTCAGATGATTCAGCCACTCGGGGAACTACTGATCAGAGAGATGAAATTAGAATGTTTTAGGAACAAATGAGAAGTGATGGGATTCTTTTGGGGGGAGGGTGGGGGAGGATTCCTTTCCATCCCAAAGAACCTTCTAATTCCATGACCAGCTAAGGAGACGGCAAGGTAGAAGCTGTGGAAAAACAAGACTTAAGATATAGCCTGGCTGGAGTTCGAGACCAGTCTAGGCAACATAGGGAGACCCAATCTCTAAAAAATTAGCTGGGTGTGGCAGGGCACGCCTGTAGTCTCAGCTACTCAGGAGGCTGAGGCAAGAGGTTTGATTGAGCCCAAGAGGTAGAGGCTGAGTTGTGATTGTGCCACTTCATTCTAGCCTGGGTGACAGAGTGAGATCCTGTCTCCACAAAATACATACATACATACATACATACCCACCCTGGCTTTCAGGAGCCTGAATCTTGTTAGGGAAGTAAGACACTTCTAATGTGTGTATGTATAGAGAGCAAAACCAGCCTTCTATAAGATGTGCAAATGATGGCTAGTGCTTAGAGATCAATAGAGTTACTATCGGCCAGAGTGCTTGAGAAATAAAATTGAAATTCCTTTCAATAGGAATAATCACTCTACATTGACGTAGGGTGAGAACACAGCTAGACAAATGGCTCCACTGGCCCACTAGAGGGCAGTCTCACCCCATAGCTTTTACAACAAACCACTTGCTTCCAAACAGTACCAAAAGCAACTTCAGTAAAATCTTCAGTATACTGCAAGTTCCTTGGCAGTTTAAGAAGTTCTGGCACCCTGGACAATCTGTCCTTGTCTTGCAGGGGACTCTTCTTTTTTGAAGGGAGATTCAATGCATTTAAAGTCTCTGCCGATTTGTCCACCACACCGTTTCATCACCAAATTGCTAGACTAGGAGTCAGGTGTGAATCCTGGGAGCTATTCCTGCCCCTGCCACTGGCATGCTGCTAACAGTGGACAAGTCACTGAATCCCTTTCAGCCTTAGTTTCCCCATCTTTTTTTTTTTTTTTTTTTTTTTTAAAGCGGGGGTGGGCCGGGCGCGGTGGCTCAAGCCTGTAATCCCAGCACTTTGGGAGGCCGAGGCGGGTGGATCACGAGGTCAAGAGATCGAGACCATCCTGGTCAACATGGTGAAACCCCGTCTCTACTAAAAACACAAAAAATTAGCTGGGCATGGTGGCACGTGCCTGTAATCCCAGCTACTCAGGAGGCTGAGGCAGGAGAATTGCCTGAACCCAGGAGGCGGAGGTTGCGGAGAGCCAAGATCGCGCCATTGCACTCCAGCCTAGGTAACAAGAGCGAAACTCCGTCTCAAAAAAAAAAAAACAAAACAAAACAAAACAAAACAAAACAAAACAAAAACAACAACAACAACAACAACAACAAAAAAAAACAGGGGTGGGTGGGAGGATGCCCGGGTACAGTGGCTTATGCCTATAATCCCAGCACAGCACTTTAGGAGGCTGAGGCGGGTGGATCACCTGAGGTCAGAAGTTTCAGACCAGCCTGGACAACATGGAGAAACCCTGTCTCTACTAAAAATACAGAAAATCAGCCAGATGTGGTGGCACGTAGTCCCAGCTACTCAGGAGGCTGAGGCAGGAAAATCTCTTGAGCCTGGGAAGTGGAGGTTGCAGTGAGCCAAGATCACACCATAGCACTCCAGTTTGGAAAAAAAAGTTGGAGGGGGGAGGGTCGGGAAGGCCACTTATGTTATGACTAGGGTCCCTTCCAAATTCCCAGTCTTGGCCACTCAACTGAGAAGCAGTGGGCTGTCAGAGCAACTCAGAACTGCAATGGCCCTGTCACCCTCCTCCAGGAAGAGAGGATGCTGATGACACACCTGAGAAAGTGTGAGGTCAGGGTGGCATCGCCTTCCTCCACCATAGAGCTATCTTTCTATCAGAGATGGGCTTTCACTTTGCCACCCAGGTGGGAGTAGCGTGGTCATAGCTCACTGCAGCCTCAAATTCCCGGGCTCAAATGATCCTCCTGCCTTAGGCTCCTGAGTAGCTGGGATTGCAGGTGCGTGCTACCATGCCAGGCAATTTTTTTAGAGAGAGATATGGTCTATGTTGCCCAGGTTGGTCTTAAGCTCCTGGGCTCAAGTGATCCTCCCATCCCAGCCTCTCAAAGTGCTGAGATTTTAAGCATGAGCCACCGCGCGCTGGCTATCCATACAGCTCTTTAGGGACACAGACTCCTCTGCCTAAGGCCAATGGCTCACGGATGCCAGAGTTAATGTAATTGTAAATAGACGCTGGTGTTTTCCGCTTAGGTGGTATCCCAGGCTTTTTCATAAATTCCTTCTCCAGACATAGAAGGGCCCTGAGGAAAAGCACTAAAAATGAGGAAATAAACAGGCCCTCTCATTCCTTTATTTGGCTTTCATTCCACAATCAAGCACATCAAACAGCACCCTCAGGGAACGTGCAATTCAGATAAGTCCAGATCAGGAGCACGGTACCTGTGCTTTGATGCGGGTGCACCTGGAGAGTATAATGGTCGTGGGATGAAAGGCTGCAGGACCTGGGGTAGGGAATGCCTTCCCAGGAGAGGCAGGCCTCAGGGAAGCCACTTAGCCACGTGGCCTTTTAAAGTTCAGGCTTCCCTGCTCCACCAGAACGTGGAGGTCTCAAGGATCATGAAGCATGACCCAGTCAAGAGACAAAAATGACATTTTTCACAAAATCTAGGACATCATGATGTTTTCTGGTTTTTACAGTGAAGAGGGCAGGCCAATAATAAGGCAGCTGGTTGCAGCTGCATGTGCCTGTAATACCAGCTACTCGGGAGGCTGAGGCGGGAGGATCACCTGAGCCCAGGAGTTTGAACCTGTCTCAAATGTGTGTGTGTGTGTATGTATGTATGTACATATATATATGTCTAAGTTGCTTAAATTCCATTTACTGCTTGACTTCCAATACAACCAAGCTAATGCATCGGATCTAAGGACACATACCTTGTTTAAGAAAATGCTTCACTCGCACAGGTGATTTACTTTTAAAATTATATTTTATGTAAACTACTATTTAAATAAGTTTGTATTTCCTGCACATACTAGGACTGGAGAGGAGGGGAGCCAAGCTAAGATCCTATTGGGAACTTGCCTGTCAGAAGCCAGCTTAGGATTTACAATAGGCCATGAATAACCCATATTTAGAAAAGGATACCTTTACTATGCTGTTCTGAAAGGAGATTTAAAAAAATACAAACCAGGTGCAGTGGCTCATGCCTATAATCTCAGCACTTTCAGAGGCTGAGGCAGGAGGATTGCTTAAAGCCAAGAGTTCAAGACTAGCCTGGGCAATATAGCAAGACTGTCTCCACAAAAAAGTTAAAAACTAGCCAGGCATGGTGGCATGTACCTGTAGTTCCAGCTACTTGGGAGGCTGAGG